CCCTCAGCAGCACCAAAGATTCCTACCAACACCAAGGACCCCAGCATCACCAGGGCCCCCACCAGCAGCAAGCACCCCTACCAGCACTGGCACAGGCTGCCCAAGGAGGCTGTGGATGCCCCATCCCTGCAGGCATTCAAGGCCAGGCTGGATGTGGCTCTGGGCAGCCTGGGCTGCTGGTTGGCGACCTGCACACAGCAGGGGTTGGAACTGGATGAGCACTGTGCTCCTTTGCAACCCAGGCCATGCTGTGATTGTATAATTCTATAATCCCCAGCATCACCAGGACCCCCAGCAGTACCAGGACAGCCCTGCCCCACTCACAGCCCCTCCTGGCTGTCAGCATGCTGGAGGTTTCCACCCACACCTCCAGCTGTTCCTCTATGCAGGATGAAGCCCACGTGCTCCACCTCATCCCTGGGCACTGAGGGACAGGTTAACTGGGAACACACAGTGACCACAATGGGTTTTAAAATGTATTTTAAGACATAAAAATAGATAAAAGCTTTTTATTTTTTATTACTTCCACCTTTTGGGCTCTCCTTCTTTCTCCTTCCTTCCTTCCTCTCTCTGAACACTGAGGCTGCAGCTGCCGGATGAGCACCACAAGGTTATCCCCAGCCCTTATTTGGTCCTGCAAACACCCCACCAGAGGGGTTCCAGGTGCTGAGCAGAGCTGCCTGGATGGCTTTGCACTCAAGATTTGGGCGTGCAGCTTTTGGGAACGGAGCAGGAGAAAATCAGCACGTTGGTGTGGCCGTGCCCTGCCATCGCAGGGAGTCTGCATTGCACTGCAGTGAGAAATGCTGGCTGTTTTTACCCCCCCTGGACCCCCTCCTGCAGCTTTGGGATCCTATTTCAAGGCATTCACATCCCAAACCGTCCAGAATGGGGCTGCACGCACCCTGGGTTGCACCCTTTGGGTATGGCACCCCGTGCCCAAACAGCCCCAAACCACAGCTGGCAGCCCTCAGGATGTCCCCAAACCCGCAATCCATCCCAGCACCTCCTTGGGACTCCGAGCCCGTCTCCAGCCCCGCAACCCGCCTCCCTCCGTGCAATGAGCGGCTTCCTGCCTTTGTCTCCCCTCTCTCCGAGCAAATCTGCCTTTAGCCACATTTTCCTGGCTGCGGTGCCACCGCATTGTCCCCGAGCTGCTGTCCCTGAGTGCTGGCAGGGCTCAGCACAGCCCTGCGTGGGAATGCAGGGAAAAGGAGGAGAGGAGAGGAGAGGAGAGGAGAGGAGAGGAGAGGAG